GGGTTCTGTCTGTCCATCCGTCCGTTCGTCTGTCTTTTACCTCTTATAACTTTGATATGCTCTGTCCATTTTTTTTCCAAGTTGGTGCAAATGTAATTCTCAATGCCATACATATGCACGCCAAGTATTTTTTTGATTCGCTAAAGTTTCATTGTGTTTTTCTGTTATTTTCAACATTTTACTCGTACAAATGCCGGAAAAATCCGAGTTTTAACGACATCTCGCAAGAGAACTGGCATACCGTATTGCGCATGCGCCAGTCTAACCGCTGAGGAAATCGGCGTTGATTCATTGACGCTGCAGGTCGGCGTCTTCTACACTGATCTGACGCATATCGCGCAAGGTGTGCCAGGAGTTTGTTCGAAACTACGAACGTTTCAAAGTCATTCGTCGGTTGGCACGTATTTTACAGATATATTAAATCATTTTCACGGGCCTGTTTACTAAATAATGATACATGAAACTTAGAAAACTTGTAAGTACAAACTGGGCCCAAATTGCGCAAATTTGCAATAAGTTTACGCTGCTGGAGTCTGGTTCGGATGGAGTTCTACGCGTGATCTTATTGCGCTCAAGGACGTTCTATTTTCGAACTAGTTGAAACCGGAAATAACGCAACTACTTTCGAACTTCAAACACAAATTTGATTATCGTTATTATGTGTTAGTTTCTGTTATTTCAAAGATTGAATTATGTATGACAATAATATTTCACTCTATAAACAATATTTTACTAAAATATGTGATTCAAAGGCAACCCAAATTGTAAAAAGCAATATCAAGTTCCGCGTATAAACACTGTTGTAAAGAGGCGGCGGAGCGGAATTTTAGCCAAAATCGGCTAGTAAGGCGTCATATGACATTGGCTGGTTCCCGCCTCAAGTGTCATGGCGTACCAAGCCACAAGAGGCCGGTAACTAGTAACGGTTCTGGCATTCTGATTGGTACATCACTTTCTCGTTGCTTGTTCCATTTCCCTTAGTTACCTGACGTCAGCGCTTACGCTCGTGGCCGTTCAGGGGTTTCCTTTTACTTTCGAAAGTTGGGCGAATAAAAAGAATTGTTTCTTTTGTTATAAATTTCCACAGAACATATCAAATCTGTA